GCTCTTGAGCCTCCCCAAACGATTTCCCTGCAAAAATGAAGTCTTCAACTCGGCTTGACTCAGCTCTGTTCCAACTCACTCCCACTCGGACCAGGTAATCCTCTTCATTTAATCAAATGCTTTTCAGTGCTTATTGTTTGACAATAAAGATTGGATTTGACTTTTTACAGTCTTAAAGAATTGGGTTATGAGTATGAACTAAGTGGAAATGTATTATTGTTTCTTTCGTGATCTGAGAGAGTTGGTGTTTTGGGATTGAGTCTTTTGGTGTTTTATTGGATATTTATGTGTCTGTGAGTATCTTGGTAGAAGTTTTGTCTCACTGTGTCAGTGCATGTGTAAGAGCGTTTGATTATTTGTTACTCCATCTTATATGGGATGCTTTCTTTTTGTTTAGTTATGCACCTATTGTTTTTAAGGTTGTCAAGCATAGTCTTCAATAGTTCGAATTCAGCTTGAAGTACATTTCGTGGAAGGTTACAGATTTATTGATTGACAAGCCATATTTTTATTCGAAACAATAAAAAGAAAGATTTTGATGAAAATGGACTGTTTGTTCTTTTCTTGGTTGTTATGTTTTGAGTTTATCGTGTGAAAATATAATTGCAGAAGTTGCAATCACAGCACAGTGTTATTCAGTTTGATCATTTCCCCCACTTTCACTCCATCTTGATAGGTATGATCTGGTTATATCTGCAAATGGAAAGACGGAAAAAATAGCTTCTGGTTTGTTGAATCCGTTTCTTTCCCACTTGAAGACTGCGCAAGAACAGATGGCCAAGGGTGGCTATTCAATCATTCTTGAGCCGGAGTCTGGCAGTGATGCAACATGGTTCACAAAGAGTACAGTGGAAAGGTCTGTAATGGAATTCAATACCCCTCTTATTTGGAGTATTTGCAACATGTTTGAAAAGTGCATATGTCTGATCCTCTTACACCTACTAGAAATCGTAGAGTAAACATGACCATTGCATACAAGGCTTGCGTGATTGCTCATTTGGAATCACTTATCATTTTAAAGTTTAAACACAGCTGATCTTTTATTTATTTTTATATTTAAATTTTTTAAATTTATCTTCAAGCATAAGAAAAGTGCTTACTAGGCCTTATAGGCTCACCATTTCATCATTCTAAGCTGTGACTGTTGCGAGTGCTTTGAAATGACAATCTTGTGCTACAGTGATAACTTTCTCCCGGAAAATCATCATACTGGACTAATATGTTAGGTGACTGTTAGGTTTGTTCGCTTTGTGAGCACCCCAGAGGTCTTGGAACGGGTTTACACTTTAGAGTCTGAGATTTTACAGATTGAAGAGGCAATTGCGATTCAAGGAAATCATGATATGGGACTTAATCCTGTAAGTAAAATCTCTTGGTGTTCAATGATCTGCGTGTCATATTGTCATAGAAAAGTCAGTCTCAGTTTCTTTGTGACAGGTAGAGGAAAATCATGGAAAACCTGTAGACAGCATTGAAGGTAATGTTGAAAAGACGACTATACAATATGTCGCATAATGATTTTCGTATTAGTAAAGTATGAGATGTTTTGCCTCCTGTTTTCTTTCAATTTTGCACTGTACCGCTGATATTTGAGTTGTTTCCCCTCCTCTCTCAACACACTTGATGCAGCTACTCTGGTGGCCCCGGCTTATGCCTCTATCAGGTGGCAACATCCCCTACCTTCTCCTACCTTTTATATGGGGGAAAAAGGGAGGCTGTTGGGGGTGTGAGGGGGATTAATAGGGAAATTTTCCTATGCTTGTTCATTTCAGAACATGAAGTCTGGTGAAAGTCTCACTAGGGTTCTATCTTTTTCCTCCCTTTCAACTTCATTTTTGTTTCATGCAATGGGATGCATGAACTCGGTCAATTAAGCTATGTAGTCTGGTGCAATGTTTGTTTTAGTTTCTGATTCAAAAGACTCTATTTCTTTTTATTTTTATATCTCTAGTAAATGGTTCTTCTATTGGATTTTAAACCCCAAGTTATTTTGGACAGGAAACAGGCCTATGCTAGATAGTAATGAAGAGAAAGCAATTGTCCTTTACCAGGTTTGAAATCTATACCCTCATCATGGTTTTTATTTTATTTGTTATTGTTGCTTAATGTCTCTGATTTGGTTTCTTTTCATAAACTGGCAGCCCGATGCCAGTCAACCTGAAGCAAATGGATCCACTGCACAAGGGGAGAATTCAAAGTATGTACCATTTCTTCGACTCCTAAGTCCCCTTCCTTTCATGGATATTAAAGTTATCATGACAAATAAACTGTTGATCAAGGGATCAGCAGGTGTGATCATGAATAATGTGCAGTGGTCACTTCAAGCCTTTATTTTCATTTCAAGTAAATGAGGGATGCTTGGGGGGGTTATAGCACTATTTCATTGACCCTTATACCCAAGGCCAGAGTTTGAACCTCCTTTTCTGCCTTTGGTCTCCTTTGTATAAAATTGAAGAGTCGTTATCATTTGCTATAAAAAAAATTGTAAACCATGAACGCCAGAAAAAAAGAAACATGGGTATCATATTCATATTTCAATAACAATAAGATTAAAAAAAAAACAAAAGAGTTACGATCAACAACATATACATTCACACGTGTGTGTCCATCTCCATGCATGTACAGTGTACTCACCAACACATATTTGCTGATAAGATTCCATCTCACCAACACATATTTTTTGTGAGTGGTAACCCGTTTATCTCATATTATGTTAGAGTTCAGCTTTTAAAAGTCCTGGAGACACGCAAAACTATGCTGCAAAAAGAGCAGGGTATGGCTTTTGCACGTGCTGTAGCAGCAGGTTTTGACATTGATCACTTGCCACCATTGATATCATTTGCTGAATGCTTTGGGGCATCACGCTTAATGTAAGTAGAAATTGCTTCTACTGGCAACTTTAACATTAACATGTGGCAGGATATTTTGATTGGAATCTTTCCTGATAATGTTTACTTTATCAATCTAACAGGGATGCTTGTAGAAGATATAAGGAACTATGGAAAAGAAAGCATGAAACTGGCCAATGGCTTGAAATTGAAGCAGCCGAAGCAATGGCTACCAGATCAGAATTCTCTGCCATGAATGCATCAGGCATAATGCTTTCAAGTGTGACGAACAAACAAAATGAGGTTGCTTGGGAAAATAATGGAAAATCAACTTCAGGTAGGAATTAACCTTTTTTTAATTACTCTTCTCAAGAAATTTCGTCATGGAAACCTTGCTTCATTGTTCTCTGAGTCTTAAATGGTATGCAGTTGTAAAGAAGAAGGATGAAAAGTGCTATTTCTCATTTTGTGGAGGGCCCCATTCATCATATTGCATAGCTTTATTTTAATCGCATTCCACAATTATATTGTAGTTTTGTTTTCATATTGTCTTCTGTCTCTGTTCACTACTTTTATGTTTAACTGGAAAGATTTTGTCTGCTTATCTTTCAGAAGAAAAGCTTCCCGCGGATCATCAACAACCATTAAGCCACCAAGAATATTTTCCCGGCCAGTTTCCCCATCAAATGTTCCCTCCTTGGCCTGTTCATTCTTCTCCAGGTGCATTACCAGTCTATCCACCATATCCCATGCAAGGAATGCCTTACTATCAGAATTACCCCGGAAATAGCCCCTTTTTTCAGCCACCTTATCCAACAGTAGAGGATCCTAGACTCAATCAAGGTCAAAGAATGAAACAGAAAAGGCACTCCATGGATAGTGCTAATGGCAATCTTGAATCAGAAACATTGGAGACGGATGGTTTGAGAACAAGATCCTCAGATGATGCGGAATTGGAGAATGAATCTTTGAAAAGTCGAGAATCACGAAAGAAGGGTAGCCGCTCAGGTAAAAAGCAATCAGGCACAGTTGTCATTCGGAATATTAATTACATCACCTCAAAGGGGAAGAACTCTTCAGATAGTGAATCTCAATCAACTAGTGACTCTCAAACTGATGAGGAGGGCGGAAGTTTTCAGGATGGCATTCCAGATATGAAGGTTGTTTCCTCTCATAAATCCTCAAAAAGAAAAGGAAATCATAAACAATCTATAGATAGATTTAATTCATCTGAGAAGGAAGAAATGGTTTCTATGAAGGAGGGGGATGAAGGGAACTGGCAGGCATTTCAAAATTTCTTACTTCGAGATCCTGATGAAGACAGACGTGATCTTGACCAAGGCATGTTTTCTATGGAAAAGAAGGGTCAACTGAAAAGGCGACAAAATACCCTAGGGGATGATCCTTTGGTTTCCGGTGGTCTACAGAGGGGTGAAATTCAAGAAGGAAGTACAACAGATATCAATAAATATAGTGGAAATGTTACCCGTTTGCAAAAGTCATCAAATGATGCATTGTTGATCTCTGCAAGAGAGGACCAGTTGGGTCACAGTAGGAGCATAGATGGTCAAATGGATTTACGGTCTACTGAAATAGATGGCAGAAGGGGTGGCTATAGGAGGAACGCCAATGATGATTTTATGATTCATAGACGTGATAGCCAGTCAGGTTTTACAACTTCTCCGTCTGATCCGCTTGCTGTAAATGGATTTGATCGTGCAACTTACAGTATGGATAGGAGGTCATCGAACAACATGGATGATGATTCCTACATTGTTCCATTCAGGTCAATTTCACTAGATCATGTTGAAAACAATGACAGAAATGCTATTGACATGGGGTCTGAGTTCCCATCAGCAGTTCAGAAGGCGGAAAACATGGCCCAAGTTAATTATGAGCCAGATGAATTGACTTTAATGCCTGAGCGTGGTGCTGAAAAGGGTTCAATAGGCTATGACCCTGCTTTGGATTATGAAATGCAGGTTCATGCAAAAGCGGGTGCTTCTCTGGATAAGAAACAGAAGGAAGTGGTGAGTGACAACAAGCAAGGGTCTAAGAAGGCTGACAAGGACAGGAAATCAAAACTTGTTTCAGATACTTCCGATAGGAAGATAGGGGGGCCAATAAGGAAAGGAAAGACCTCAAAGTTGAGTCCTTTGGATGAAGCGCGGGCACGTGCTGAGAAACTAAGAAGCTTTAAAGCCGATCTTCAGAAAATGAAGAAAGAGAAGGTTATTTATCATTTTCCTATGCGTTTTTTTATAGAGTAAACTTACAAATACCTCTCCTAGTGTTTACTAAATTGCAATATCCTCCCTCCTACTTGTGGAATCTAAACTGTTCTCCGTTGGTCAAAATTAGCTTTTTTGATAGAAAGACTTTGTTAGTATCATCTCTTGACCCTTTCTGTGTGCCTTGGACTTGCTCTTCAAATCAACATATCTATCAACCTTGTTTTGCTCTTCAAATCAAGAAAAATGTGTCATAGAACTCTGAAGCACTTGAACTTTTACGAGGTCGATCCGCCTTATTAATTTATACACCCAAACATATTCGTAGACCTGGTGTTTTTTCTTCATGGGAATAATTTTATTCCTAAATAGCCTATTAGTTATGACCTTTTAAATTCCAGAGAGAGACTCAAGTTCACAAAATTGCAACTATTTGATTTTAAATCATTAGTAAAAAACAAATATTCCACATATTCCAATAAAATAAAAAATGTAATTACTTATTGCTTTCAGTTTTTCGTGTGATCATATTTGTTCTGTGTAGTAACTTATTTCTTGTGTCTGGTGTCTGTGCTACAATAGGTTATATGTCCAAAAGTTGGCTTCACGTGCTATATGCTAGCTAGTTCATCTGGTTTGTTCATTCAATTTTCATATTCTTGAGCTTTTGGTTTTCAGGAAGAAGAAGAGATGAAACGACTGGAAGCTTTAAAGATACAGAGGCAAAAGAGGATTGCTGCTAGAGGTGGTGGCATCCCTGCTCAGTCACCATTGCCCTCACAGCAAAATAGGAAACAAGGGCTGACAAAGCTATCTCCAAGCACTCACAAAGGATCAAAGTTTAGTGATTCAGATCCAGGGTCATCATCTCCTTTACAAAGGGTCCCCATCAAAACGCCGTCTATGGGCTCCGCTGATTCTCACAAAACCTCAAAATCCAGCAAACTGAATTCCGGAATCCACTCGGCTGGAAACAGGTTAAGCCGGTCAGCATCTTCATTGCCTGAAAAGAAAGACAATGTTGGTGTTACAAGTGATGCTAAGCCATCCATGGCACGGATTAGAAGATTATCAGAGCCTAAGGTGACTAACAGCCATCATGTTTCTTCAGTGAAGCCACGGAGCACTGTAACTGTATCAAAGCCGAAAGTATCTGATGGGCCTGAGAGCAAGAAAATATCTGCTATCGTGAACTATGACAAAAGCAAGGCTGCTACTCTCCCAGAATTGAAAATCAGGACATCCAAGGGACCTGATGTTGCCCAGAGCACATCAACAACAAGGGGAACGACACAGAAGGATAATTCTTTGAAGTCTACCCCTGAAGGTGCCCAACTGAAGAGGAATGATGATAAAATTTCACATCATAATGATGGGGATGACAACACAGTAATTGAGAAAACTGTTGTGATGCTTGAGAAACCTTCCATTCCTATTGTACATGCATCTGAAGAAAATTTGCGGGACGAAAAGGGACATAATATTAGGGAGAAAACAGAGTTGGTGTCAGAATACGCTGCTATTCGGGCACCAGTTTATCCACCGACAATTGCTACAATCGATAGAGAACCCACTAATGACTTATTAAAGCAGCAAGTTCAATCTCATGAGGTATGATAACCAAAAGACTTCACTTGTGGTTTTACATTTTTGATCTATACTGACTGCAATGGACCATGTTGAGTGTGATTTGCATATGAGAATCTTTCAAGCAAGGAAAATTCACTGTTTACAGTCTTGGACTCTTCAATACTGCGTTTTCAATAACTGTGACCCAATAGGAAGATTCATAGGTTTTAGTCGTATGTGTTATATCAATTTTTGGTTCAGTGCTCCCAACTAACAAACATGCAGCTTATATGAGCCCTTACTATTACTACATGTGAAGTTCAAAACATTTAGTGAATTGTTTATGTTCCCTTGTCAAAGCATCATAAATTTTAATTGCAGTTCAATTGTTTTTGGTTATTATTGTTGTGTTATTCTAGGTGGTTAGGCACCCTTTTTCTGCCTCTGCAAAAATAATATACCTATGAACAATAAGATATATTTTTCGTCACATCATTGATTTTGGATCAATTTCCGACTGGTGTTTGTGCAAATTTTTCTTGATGATCTAAGATTTTCGTTTAACCACTTTGATGATAGGCCGCTAGGAGTAATATGGAGAAGGAACCAGAGATTTTTTCAAGCAATAGTACTGTTGAGAAACCGTATCAAGCCCCTTATGTGCGGGTTTCTTCTCTGGAAGATCCATGTTCTCATAATTCTGAGTATGGAAAAGCACCCCCGACAAGTTTAGAGACTGGGGCTACAGGCGCATTGACCATGAAAGCTCTTGTTTCTGAGTCTAGTAACTTGAAACTGGAAAAGATTCCAGAAGCAATTGAAAGGCCTCAGGTAAAGGAATCATCAAAAGGGTTTAGACGGCTGTTAAAGTTTGGGAGAAAGAACCATGGCTCTTCATCGGGCGAACGCAATGTTGAATCAGATAATGTCAGCACGAATGGTTCTGAGGTAGATGATAATGGGACAAACACTGTTTCTTCTAGTGAAGGTAACTTGCATTATGCCCTGAACGATCACATTCATTATGCATGTAGACACACTTTAATCAATTATGTCCTTAATATTACATAAGTTGACAGTCAATTTTTGGTGCCCATTATCAGTCTTTACATTAAAGAATCTGATCTCACAAGATGAAACTCCTAATTCCAGTGCTACACTGAAGTGTAAGTGTTTACTGTCAACATGATTTGCTTCATTCTTTCTTTTTTCATCTTTTCAATGATTACATAATTCTAATTGAGACTAAGGATTTCTTTCATATGGTTGCAGCTTCTCGCCATTTCTCCTTGTTGTCACCGTTCCGAAGCAAGACTAGTGAAAAGAAGCTGGCAACATCATGATGTGAACGCTTACAAAATCAAAGATGAGGAAGCAACAAGCTTGCCTTCTTTTTCCACCAATCGGTCGCATATATCTACTTTCAAAGCTATACAGATTCTCCTGTTTTGTATGTTCAAAAGGATAATCTTAGTTTTGTTGTTGCATAACTTGTCTTTGTACATTCATATTAATTTGTTAGTGTTGCATGCGTAATGCGTTTGTAGCTCTGCCCTGCGTAATTAAATGGTTGTAGACTTGATAGAAATTGTTGTTGTGGACTCGGGAACAGGATTGATGTCTTGGGTTCTTATCTCACATGGAAGGATAAATGAACGAAATAGATTTCCTTAAGATTGACGAGTGACTTGTAATTTGATTTCAAAATAAAACAAATTTGGAAAGAAAAAAAAAAAACAAAATAGTATTTGCTCCTTCACACATGATTTGTTCCATGGTAAAAATCTGATATATGTTGGTGATTGAATCATCAATGATGTGAATTTTTGTTTAAGTGTAGTTCAAATTAACAGTCTAGTAACATAGTATGGCAAATTGTTTGATAAAAGTACGTTAACTTTAAAATAATTCGACTCGATGGGTTCACAATATTTCGCCTTTCAACAATTCGACTCGATGGGTTCACAATATTTCGCCTTTCAACTCTTTCCAAATGCATCCAAGAGAGCGAAATTTGTTCTAAGATTGTAGATGTTTGTCTTTGGTCAAAAGGTTGTTCTGTTGCTATTTTACACCCGTGGAATATCAACAGTGTATGAACTAAGGTCCCTCTGCTGTGTTGAGGTCTCATGGTTGACTTTTTTGAGCCTTTCATTTTAAGAGGCTTTTGGGTTCTGTTTCTTTGTTTGCTCTATTTGGTGGTTCTGTGACCCGCAGGTTTTTGCCCTCTTAGGCTGGTTGTTTGAATGATATTCAGATCAAAACAAAAGGTGTCTCGTACAAGATGAACAAACGACTGTGGAAGCAAATTGAATGGCATACTAATCAAATCTAATGACCAAGCAAGAAATGCTGCCTCTGCTCATTCTATTTGAAGCTTCCTTTGCCAAACACTCGGAAGCTGCTTGTGGATTTTCAATGTGCTTGATGAGATTCACAGCCTCTTGATTCTTCATTACCTGGAACACATGCCAAAGTTGAAGAATCACATTATGCAAATGCAAGCTAGAAGATTTGTAGAAGTGAGATGCTCTCGTATGGAAGAACTTTTGGTGAACATATGTGGGATGGATGATAACAAGTTTTACCTCCCATATTCCACTGCTTGCTAAAATGACAAATTCAGTATCAGGATCAACCCTTTCGGCCCCAACAACAAGGTCTGAGGTTTTAGACTGCCTGGTGCTTGCTGCATTGCCTGTACCACACTTAAATGTGAATTTTTTGCACACAAGTATCAAACACAAGCATGTCAAAAATGAGATACGGTGATGGCTATTGGATATCATATGATGAGTTATTTCCATTTCAGGTCACCAAATTTGTTCCCCAAAATGGTATGATAGTGTTTCCCTTCAAGAAGGGTCCGTTCTAACTCTCTTTGTTTTTCCCAAAAGTAAATACCGTCATATCATCTGTCACATCATTTCGTGAATAAATTTGGTGATTCTAGTGTTAACGGTGCACTGTACCTTTAAAGAATCTCTGAGACCAATGTCTTTTGCCTGATTGATTGTTCCTGCTGCCTATCTGATGAGCTAAACCATCTCTACACACAACTGCTCTATAGTCACCCATGTTAGCTAATACAAGCTTCTCCCCATCGATCACCATCGCAGAAACTGAACCAACTGCATGTGTGTCCTCTGTGCTCTCTCTAGTCTTTGCTCTAGCACCAAGATATGCCTTTCTCATTGTCTCCTTGCTCTTTGCCCTTACATGAGACTGCACAGAATGTGACATGAAAAAGCAAAGCTCAGAGGATGAAAAAAACACAAGAGAAACAAAACAATTGTAGGGGGTATGGAACTAGACTTGTCTAAGTGTGTATTAAAATTGATCAAAGCTGTAACATTGTGCAAATCTTAATCAAGCAATTTCTTAATGCATATTGGGTTGTGATTACTTTAATCTGTGCTTAATTAAAAGCAAGTGTTTCATGTAAATAGGGTCGTTTACCTCTTTAGGATTCTTGTCAAACAAATGAGACTGCATGTACTTGGCAACCCTGTCACCGATCCGAGCATCGAAAACTCCCAAAAACCACAACTCAAGCTCTTCAATTTGCTCTCTCTGAACCACAACAAAGTCAGAGTTGGACTCTTCATAACCAGCTGGTGATTTAAAGGCCTCAAGCGTATAATATCCATGTGAGACTGCTGGCATCATCCACGACGGTTTCTTTGCATTAGTGACCTCTCTTTTCTTCCTCCCAGCACTTCCCATGAGAAAACGTTTCAGCTGCAACGCCTGAAAGACCATTTCTAATTTAATTAAGAAAAACGTTTCAGCTTATGTTATGGTGCTTGAGCATACAAACACACACACGCATATATATATATATATATATATACTGTATACATACTAACAAACTTTTGTGTAGATTAGTGTTCATGATATACATTATACAAATGAAGAATGAAAACTTGGAAAGATGGAAAAAGACAAAATCAAACTTTGTAAATGGTAATTCCATGGTTATAATAATATTCAATCTCTTTCCTTTTCCTTCTTTTGTCATTTCCCATTTTGTAAACACAATTGACATCTTAAACAATCTGGCACAACCCATAAAAGTTATCAAACCAAAATCTGAAACCCAGAAACCAGATTGTTCAGATTGTCCAAGAACTCGAATATAAATGCTAAAAAAAAATACATTTTTTCATGAAAAATAAAATAAAAATAAGAAATGGGAAAAGATAGCCATACCTTTTGCTTAAGATGAAAATCTTTCAGGGCCATGAACACCCCCGAAATTTGATCAGAGGCCTTTGGTGATTATCTGGTAAGTGAAGAAGATAATCACCTTTAGGCTAAAAGAATTAAAAAAAAAGAATGGTAAACTTTTTTCAAATTGAAAAATGAGATAGAGGGAGGAAGAAAGAGCTATACTTGGCAAAGATAACAGTTTGCTAGTCTCTGTGGGCAATATAATTACAATTTATAGCTATTTAAAGTCAATGAGGAGTCTAAGCTGGTTGTATATTCATCTAGACCTCCTGTTTTTGCGTTAATTACTGCATTAAAAGATAGCTTTAATCATCCATCAATCTGTGAGCAGAAAATTTAAAATTTTCTAACTGCCCTTTTGTGGATATCATGTCTGGTCAAAATTACGTTGTCAAGCATTAATTTAATTTTCTTTCTAATATTAACGGCAGGCTTCTATATTCTCACCTTTTTCTTGTTTTCAGTTTGTTGTCATGCACTTCAAAATCTGTATTTTATTATTTTAAAAATAGTTATATAAAAAAAATAAATTTCATGATGCAAGGCTTGTAGCTCAAATGGTTAAAAATATTTACTCATGCCTGACCAATCCAAAAGGATTTTATTCAACGTCCTAAATTCAATCCCCCAATATTTATATATGATAACAAATTAAACGCGAGATTTCAAACCTAAAACAGAGTTGCTTTGACTATAAACATAAAAAGAAAAATTGGTTTTGAGGAATGAAACAAACCTTATAGTTTTGGAAATTTTCATCCAACTCGGATTTATGGTATTAGGCCAACTAACTATCATAATTTCGGTTTGGTGACCTGCTTTAATTAAAGAATAAGAGGTTTTTTTTTTCTTTCTTTTGAGACTAAAATTATAGAGGTTTTATTTATTTATTTTGTTATCAAATAAACAATAGTATATTATTGATGAACAAACCTCTGGGCACGCATGACTTTTTATGGGTCTTAAGTTTAGGTCATTAGATGCCAAAGAGGTCGCCATTTTGCTCTCTACCCATACGACACTTTTAATTACCCAATAACTACGACAGAGAAGGTTTATGATTTGTAGGAACCTTCCTTAGTATTTATGCTTTTCAATGTTTTTCACTTGAAGTTGGAAAAAAATTTTGGTTGGGCAAGAAAATTGAAACCAATTTACCATCTCACTGCCAAGGGATATTTCCAGGAAATTTCAGTTTTGACTCTTCCTTGACTCCATCTCTCGGGCCATAGACTTGCAGTTTCGAAACAAACAAATTGTTGACTCCGTGAAGGACGGCAAAAGGATTCTTCTTCTGGATATTTGAGACGTGGGAAATGATAGTCCTGTTGAGTTGTCCTTGTCCGATTAAGACCTTCCCTAACTTCTCTTGCACGTTGTAAAATGCTCTTTTTTTTTATATATATAACAAAAATAGTCATTCAAGTTTATTTTTATTTTTATTTTTCTGAAACAAGCGATATTGAGATGGAGAAATCGAACCTCAGATCTCGGATGCGGTAAATACTATTAACTATTTAAACTACAAGTCTCTTGCAAAATCCATTCGGTTTTTATATATGTATCAACGTTAGTATGTGCATTTGGGCTAAAAACATCCCATGAAAAAAGGATAAAGAGCCATTCAATTGTTGACTTCTTTTGGCGAAGGAGCTCATACTGGGCGTTGAGTCAACACAGAATTGACAGGGAGGGTTGAGATTAGAAGGGACCGAAGAGGGGTTGATGTTTGGCTCTTTTTAATTAGAGTCATTTCTCCTTTACTGTTGTGGACAATATAACACACCTATATATATATATATATATATATAATGAATTTATTAAAAAGTATAAATGTACCAAACCCTGATTTGGTTATTATAAACAGCCACATATTTTACATTTAGAATTAGGTGTTGCATGAAGGTTAACATGCCCTTTGGTTAATCAGGGCAGGTCCAAATGTAGCCTTCCTAATAAGTCCATTTTATTTATTTTAATAATTTTAAAAATACAAGTGATAATCTAAATTAATCTAATATATGAAGAGAGAATTTCGAACTTAGGTGCATTTGCCAACTGGCCTAACTCACATTTGTTTTTTGTTGTTGTTGTTGTTGAATCTATTGGTTGAAATGAACTTGAAAGTTTAGCCATTCTATATTGAGGGCCTTATATATAGTCCTTAAGTGAGGTCATATCTATTAACCCTTGGAGCAGACTAACTAATTTGATTCAACGGCTAACTAATTTAATCCAACGATTTAGAGATAGGGCCTACCTAAGTGGCCTCACTATAGAATTCTTGCTTGAAAGTGATTTCACTATAACAGGCCACAACCAACCCAAAAGGAAAACAAAGAAACATAGGTCCACAAAAAAACCAGCCCAAAAACTATAGATACGTGCAACTTGCGTGTGGTAGGTCTAATTTCTTTTTCAAAGTGCAATTGCCTTCAATTATTTGGAAAGATGGTTGTAAGAGTATCTACAATCATGCTCATATTTTTTGGTTAAAATTTAGCTAAAAACACACAAATGTTATTTTATGAGCTCTATATAAAATTTGAACTCCAATCATACTCTCTATTTTAGAGAGTCATAAATAGTATAGTTATTTTTTAATTCAATATGTTTGGTCCATCTCTATTTTTTTTTTTTTTTTAAAGAAAAGAAGAAGAAGTTAGCATTAATTAAAAGTTTAAACTATGCATAAAACAAAGCAACATTAAATTATAGAAGACCACTATGAGTCATTTCTCTCTTCTCAAATTTAAGAGCTCTTAGAGCATCTCCAACCGATATGTCAAAAGTGCCACATAAATATTTAACGGCTAGAAATAACATCTTACATTACTCCAACCGATGTGTCAAAGCTGATGTGGAATGAAGACTGGAGGTTGAGATGTTATTTTTGACATTCCAAAAGTAAGATGTCAAATGAATATTTTATTATTTTATTATTTTCTTTTCTTTTTAATTAAAAATGAATCAACACTAAAATGTAATAAAATAATAATTTAATTTAACATATCGGGTGGAGTGTAGAGCTGTGTAATATGTCAAATTGCCACATCAGCCATCAAATTTAAATTTAATATTTGGTATTTGACATCTCCCTTGGAGATGCTCTTAGAGGTCTCCCTATTTTAGGAGTTGGATAGGGAGCATGGTTGGAGGTGGGTTTTCTCACTTCCTCCCTAAATTTTATCTAAGGAGGTGGTTTAGTGGGCCCATTGTGGATACTCTAAGTGCAGTGTGTTGAGGAAGGTGGTCCTAAAACAATAATAATTTTTCTGGGATGAATTCATTAGTTGACTGACTTCATATGTAGACAGAAAGAAATTGCTCTACTGAGATTTAGTTGTTCTTTTTGGCAAAGAGAGAGTAAGTGTAGAGCATGGCTGAGGCAGTTGTTTCCTTTGTGCTCCAAAGTGTTAGAGACTTCACAACTCAGGAAGCCAAGTTCTTGTGTGGAGTCAGCCAACAAGTTGAGGTTGCACAAACTGAGCTACAATTGATGCAAAGCTTCCTCAAAGATGCAGATCGAAGACAAGTAGACGATGCAAGTGTACGCATTTGGGTTGCCAAAATTAGAGATGCTGCTTATGATTTGGAAGATGTTATTCAAACTTATGGCTTGAAAGTTGCTACCAAGAATAAAGGAGGCATGAAGAATGTTCTGAAAAGATTTGGTTCCATCTTTAAGCAGTGGGTTGATCTTCACAAGATTGGGGCAGAAATTGAGAACATCACTTTCAAAATTTCTAATTTGAGGTCGAGTTTGCAAAGCTATAACATTATAAGGGAAACAAAAGAGATTGGAGGTGCATCTTCCTTGCAATCATTTGAGAGACAACAACAACTGAGGCGAACTTATTCTCATGTTATTGAACGTGTTGTTGTTGGGATAAAAGACAATGTAAAGGAAATAGTCACATATTTGGTGAAGGAAGAAAATTGCCTCCGAGTTGTTTCTATTTGGGGTATGGGAGGTTCGGGGAAAACCACTCTTGCAAAACAGATTTATCATCACGAAGAAGTTAGGTGTCATTTCAAAAGTTTTGCTTGGGTCTGTATATCTCAACAGTATCAAGTAAGAGACGTTTGGGAAGGCATTTTAATTAAACTCATCTCTGCCACCAAGGAACAGAGAGAAGAAATTGCAAAAATGAGGGATTATGAAATAGCCAAGAAGCTTTTTCTTGTCCAGCGAGAAAGGAGATGTTTGGTGATACTTGATGACATTTGGAGCATCGAGACATTTAATTCTTTGAAAGCTGCATTTCCATTATATGAGGAAACACAAAGCAGAGTTTTACTTACAACACGAAATGAAGCAGTGGCTTTGCATGTAGATAGAAATGGTTTTCTCCACCAACCCCAGGCACTGAAGGAAAATGACAGTTGGGAGCTATTTGAGAAGATAGCAATATCTGGAAGGATTGGTGAAGGTACATATTTATCTTCAGTTTTCTTATTTATCAATGGAGCCTCATACATAGAATTTGCTGTCATTATTGTAGTTTTCTTCGTCATTTATGGAGGTTTACTGTTTTTTCAAATATTATGTAATGTGTACATAATATCATATGCTATGCTTTTAAATAAATAAAAATTCTGGGAATATGAATATAATTTTTTATATGAATATGCATATTCTTGACTGCAAAGACTTTTTCTCTTGTTGTTGTTGAAAGGAATCGAAATCCCAGTAATGGTTGGAGATATTGTCATGGATAAGAGTAAGGAACCAAATACCTCCTCTACCCAAATTGTGTATAAATGCTATTAAGCTTAACTGTGGGACAACATTGAAACAAATGCCATAAAATTAGTACAGACTGCCCTGTGAACATTTCGGTAGCTACCAAGATAGTAATTTATCATTTGCAATAGAAATAATAGTTACAATACATAGGTATCTTTTATACAACTACTAGAAGTGTTAATTTGGTTTTTTTTTATAATTACTTTTCAGATTCTGGAGTTTACAAAAAGATGAAAGAACTAGGAATTGAGATGCTTCGACACTGTGCAGGTTTGCCATTAGCTATTATTGTGCTTGCTGGAGTTCTAGCTAGAAAAAACAATGTTAAAGAGTGGGAGACAGTGCATGAGAATGTTCATGAATACATTAGGAGAGGCAAATTTTATGAACAAGAATATGAAGGTGCATCATGGGTGTTGGCATTGAGTTATGATGACTTGCCGTATCACTTGAAACCATGTTTTTTATATTTAGGCCATTATCCTGAAGACCATGAAATTTCAGTGAGTGCATTGACTAAGTTATGGGTGGCAGAAGGTCTTATCTCGTTGAGACCACAAATACATGGTTTCGGAGAAACAATGGAGGATATAGCGCGCAAGTGCTTAAGTGAATTGGTGGAAAGGTGTGTGGTTCAAGTGGGAAGAAATGGTTCAACAGGGACAATTAAAACTTGTCGGATCCATGACCTTATACGTGACTTGTGTTTGATAAAGGCAGAAGAGGAAAGCTTTCTCCAGATTGGCCATTCTTTGCATGAAAATGAGTCAACTAGTATGTTTACTTCTTCTATGGTAGCCAAGGCAACGCCATTGGGGAAAGTTCGAAGACTTGCAATTTACTTGGATGAGAATGCTGATAGGTTGGTTTCATCAAGAGGTGAAACAAGTGGCCACTTGAGGTCTCTACTATACTATGACTTAAGAGAATGGAGGCCAACAAGTAAAAAATTATTACTATCTCCATTGACGGGTTTCAAAGTGCTTAGAGTTTTGAAGCTTGAAGGTGTAAATGAAAAAGTAGAAGTAGTAGAGTTGCCAAGTGAAATTGGAAATATGGTACACTTGAGGTTTCTAAGTGTGAGGTCTAGCAATATAAATACGTTTCCATCATCCTTGGGTAATTTGATATGCTTGCAAACTCTTGATTTCCGTGTTAAAAATGACCTCAATATCCCAAATGTGATATGGAAGATGAAAGAATTAAGACATTTATATTTACCCATGTTTTACAGAGCAAGTGTTGAATTGAAGCTGTCTACTCTCGGCCATTTACAAACCTTAGATTTTCTTTCATCCAAGTATTGTGATTTGAAAGATGTTATTGGATTAACCAATATTAGAAAACTGAACATACGACTATCAAGCTCCTTCGAAAATCTGGACGAAATATTGAAATCTACAGGCAGCACGCTTAACCGTATCCGGTCTCTATTTGTGGACATTGATTATGCAAGGAAGAGTAGCTATGAGGAGCAGATTAGGCAAATAGTATCAATCTGTCCGCGTATATACAAACTGAAGCTGTTTGGGCCAACCCCAGAATTACCGAAAGAGCTCTGCAACTATGCAAACCTCACCAAGTTAGAGTTGAGAAGCTGTGGTCTCAAGGACGACCAAATGGGAATACTAGAGAAGTTGCCACACTTAACAACTCTGCGCCTTCAAGGAAGAAACACTTTTGAGGAAAATACAAAGATACTGGTTTTCTCCAAAGGAGGCTTTCTTTGTCTTGAATTTCTTTCCGTTTTTGACATTCCAGAAATAACAGAGTGGAGGGTAGAGGAAGGAGCCATGCCTAGTCTCTGCCGATTGCGCATTGGATTTCCCTGTGGATTGACAGCACTTCCAGATGGGCTAAGATATCTTACGAATCTCAGGAAATTAAGCATTTTCGGGATGCTTAGAGAATTCCACAGTAGGATTCAGGAAGATGGAGAGGATTTCAGTAAAATTCAGCATGTACCTTCCCTTGTAATTGGAGAACCGTATGACCCACCGATACAATGAAAAGGTAATTTCTTAATTTCAAGTTGTAGGTTAATTGTCGTTGTGTTCTTTCTTGTGCAACAAGAATTAACCTGCTGTTCTTTTTTTTTTTTTCGCCACTTCCTCTTTCTTACTTTTTTCTCTTTTGATTCCGCATTTCAAATGTTTAAATGTTTGTCATTTTATTACTTATAAAATATTTGTGTATTAGGCAAGATTTGTAGGTGTGTGAAAAAAGAGCACAATAACGCCTCCCCTGTTTTGCTCTGTTTTCTTTCTCCATTTTTTTTGTTATTTGCTTATGTGCTGTTTGGTGCTATTGACCGTTGGATGTTTTTGGAAGTCAAGTAAGAGTTGAATATTTATGGCATTTGAGAATCTTTGAAATGACAAATCCTTCCCTTTTCCAGCAATTAGAAAGCTCCAGTGCATAAGGAATATGATTTTCTTTGTAGTTGATCATGTTAACAAGTTATCTCTATATGACAAAAGTGCTGAATTTGTGTTTTGGTGCTACAGCAGGGATTTGACTTTGAGAAAGTATGTCGAAGCTCTGCAGCAGGGGGAGCATGTGGTAAGCTGAACTTATGAGGAGAAAATCAAGAGGAGCAAAGATGTGGTCAAGTAGTTCAAGGTTGAAGCAATCTTTTCGTCAGATTGTATAATACTTTGCAAGGGATTTTGCTTGGTTTTGCTGTGATAGTTTTTATTTATATACTATGTTGTGATAGAGGCTTGTTTCTTTGTTTGTGTTTATGCAACCATCAGTTTTGAAAGCAGAGTTAAACTGCAGCTAATTAAAAAGGTTTCCCTAATTATATTTTGGAGGGATTATTGCATTCTAAGAGCAGCTGCGTGTAAATGCTGAGCTGCTGAGTTAAAAGTGCTTCATAACAATTGAATAAGATTCCTATTTTATTTGTATTTTTCCCATTCTGTATTTTATTAACTATGAAAGATTATTTCTAATATGTTGTAACAAAAATGCAAGATGGTGATTTTGCAATCTTATTGCCAACCGGAACAACAATTTCAAACTAAGATTTATGGGTATAGTAGTAAGAGGTGGTAGTATTCTACATGTAAAGTGTTGTTTGAAAAGTGAAACAATTACCAAGACCACTTCAACTCAGTATGCAATTCTCTACGATAAATAATGTGTGCAATAACATAATTTAGTAGTACTCGAGAGAACGAGGTAGATCGAAGGCAAACATTCCCACGAAAAAAGAAGAGAAAAAATTGAACTCTTACATTGGTTAACTGTGAAATTTCTCTCCCTTCAATATATGCTTTGGATATGTTGAAACTAGCAAATTAATAATTATAAAGTACAAACTAATGGAAGTAGGCCACAAAATTTCAAAATTTCTGGGGAAAAGAGAAGCTTCGAGCTCCAACTGTCACTTTGGCCTACTCGAAAATCGCTAATCACTAGGAGGGTACTTTTTTTTTCCCTTCTAATATTTTTTTTAATAGCGCGGCTGTACTCCTTAAATATATTATTTTAAGGGGTATAGCCGTCCGGCTATACTCCTTAAATATATTATTTTAAATGGTATAGCCGCGCGGCTATACCCTTTAAATATATTATTTATATTTAAACCGTATCGCCGGGCGGCTGTACTCTGTATACATGTTATTATATTTAAAGCGTATAGCCGCACGGCCGTACACCTGCAATATATTATTATATTTAACGAGTTTCGCCGCACGGCTGTACTACTTGAATATATTATTTTAAAGAATATGGCCGCTCGGCTGTACACCTTCAATATATTATTATTTTTAAAGAGTATCGCCGCGCGGCTATACTCTTTAATATATTATTGTTAATGAGTATCGCCGCTCGGCTATACTCTTTAAATATTTTATTATAAATAGTATAGCCGCGGGGCGGTACGCTTTCAATATATTATTTTAAATAGTATAGCCGTTCGGCTGGACGCCTGAGATATATTATTATATTTAAAGTGTATAGCCGCCCGGCTATACTCCTGAAATATATTATTAACTTCAGGTGATGCTTTGTGAAAATCGGGAGCAAAGACGCGGTCAAGTTGTTGAAGCTTCGATTGTACAAGACATTTGAGCTGGTATCAGCTGAGGTTTTCAGATTTGTCTACCTACTAGGATTCAGCAATTTGAAACTTACTTTTGTTGTGGTTTGCGGTAATTGAAATACTTTGTAATGGATTGTGCTTGGTTTTGCTGTGATTGTTTGGTAGATATTGTTGTTTTTATTGTGATTTAGACTTGTTTCGTTGTGTTAATGCAGCTATCAGGCAAATTTAAAGGGTTTCCCTAATTATATTTTGGATTGCATTCTAAGAGTAATACTAGAGACACCACCTTATTACATCAGTTTTTGAACACTGAAGTGATATGTTAGTGTTTTATTCATTTTTTCGTTACGGACCAACTTTAAATTTTAATTTATTCATAATAAATAAGAAATTACCTCATCAGTTAGTATATTAAAATTGGTATTTATATTATCATTGCAAAACTTTTAGGCCTTGTCTAAATTTGCACCCATCATCCCTGTAATTTTCCCATTATACCATCTCCTCCTTCCTCCACTCCTCCAATTATCAACCTACCCACCCACCTCTCTACGCTCTCACCAGAAGTAAATTGTTTCTATAATCTTAGAAGCTCATACTCCTATTTTCCATCCATTATAAAGATATGATTATTCTATATTTTTGAGTTTAAACCAATAATCCCGATTTTATATATGTATATATACACATACACATAGGGTGCCTTAATGACTTTTAATTCTTACATTTTCATAGGAGGGTTGTTTTCTTTATTCCTAATCCAAACGACTATTTTATTTCGAGGTCATTTCTTTAAAAAGTAATAATAAAGTTTTTATAAGGGCTATTGGTTATAGAAAATAATAATAATAATAATAATAATAATAATAATAGCCAAGAGTTCACCTTCCAACCCAGCAGAATTAACCATGAACCTCCACAGAAAAAGAAAAAACTAAAAAGAAGTAGAAAATATAATATAAATGGTCATTTCCAAAAACCTCTGCAAAACCTTCTCTTTATTCTCACCAAAGAGAAAAGAGAGAGGCGAAGAGCAAGGCGAAATGTCCCCCTCTCGTATCCTTCTTCCAAAGCCAGGGCATCATCTCCACAAAAGAGGTAAAACCCACTTCACGAACATCGTTCTTACTTCATTTGCATCACATTTGTGTGTTTTTCCCAAATCACATTTGTGTTTTAGAAAGTGAAAACGGTTTCTGGGTTTTGCTTATAAATCGATTAAACCAATTTCAGCGCTTCCCAAAGCAACAAGATGGTGTTCATCTTCGTTGAGCGGTGGGCCGGAGAAACCAACGAGTTCAGAGAACTCGGAGGCGGGAAAGGAGCAAAGAGCTGCAGCTGAGGAGTCAAATAAAAAGTGAGTTCTTCTTGAAACCCAGCAAAGTTATTTTCTCATTATATGTGTGAACCAATGAACAAGTCTAGAAAGTAGCCAACGCTAAGTCCTGGCAATTACAATACCCTTCTTTCGAAATTTCATCAAAAAATCCAAATTGTAGAAAACACTGCAAACAATGCTCAAAATGTAAAAGGATATCATCGTGTTACATCAAGCACGTGGTGTTTGAACTAGGCAAAACTAGCTATCCCGTATTTAGCCTCCCTAAATCTATGCTCATCTCAAATTCTCAATACAGATGATGATATGCATGAAGAATCTTGTAGAAACCAGCTTAGGAAACACAAACCTTTACTCCCCATTTTTTCAAGAAATTGCTAAGTGTTATAGAAAATAACTGAGGGGCAATCACGTTTAATGCTCAAGGGAAACATCCCCAGCAACCAGATAACGATCAGAAAGCCGCATGCAAAGTATAAGCACAAGTTCCCATACTTAAGCAAAAATATGCGCACCAGTGTATGCAAGCTGGTGGCATGCCATAATCTCACATCCCAAAACATTTTGAAAAGTAATACACACATGACTTATGGAACTTTCTAGAGTTTTCTTTTTTATTGTACTCAACTGTTAATATTTTTATTTATTTTGGGGGTTGGGGTTGGGAAGGGTGGGGAGATGCGTGTGTTTATGTTTATAGTTGTATATAATGTGCCTCATCATCAATTATATGGCGTTAGCCTGTAGCTTATAATCTATCATAGTTGCTAAGCATTCCGTTTGTACTCCTCGGATTTACAGATATATGGAACCAGCAAAGGGTCAAAACAAAGTGGGGGAATCATGGAATTCTCTGAAAGGCATTTGTTCTAATCTGAAGGAAAGAATGCTGGGAATTTCCCGATTTCAGAAGCAAATCACTGTTGAATCAATTGATTCTGTAGCTGATAGGACAATATCTGAGGTTATTAAGACAAAGAATAGTCCTCATGACACTGAAATTGATCAACCCAATTATAGCATTCAGATGCCAAAAGTCATAAGAGATTCTCACAGTTGCAAGGAAAATATCTCAACGAGATTAAAATCTGATATAATTAGGGAACGCTCTTCATCTGAAGTGGTTGGTGCTACAGTTTTTAACCAAGTTGATGTGCATATGGCTGGTTTGGTTGTATCCAATGCTAGAAAGGAGCGTGCTGGTCCAGAAAATGTTGAAAATAACTTAACAAATGCGTCATTGCATAGAAGGGGGAAAAATTCTTTGAGCAATTTGGGTGATATTTTTGCATCTAAACACAAAGAGAAACATGTTGGTCCTAAAAATGTTGAACATGGTGTAAGTGGAAATTTAGTTCTATCATCAGAGACCTTCATGGATTCTCAAAACAGTGAGAAATGTGTTAGAGCAACTGCAGCTTCCAATGTAACATGGAAAAGATATTCCAAGGATGTGGATCAATCAGAAGTACAGCCTGAATCAGACAGGCAACTTGGGGAAGTGATGTTGGACAACACTGGGGTTCTTGAATCAGAAACTGAGTACCAGTCTTGCGTAACACATCAGTTACCAGGTGAAGAGTCTAGGATATTCCAAAAGGATGTCACAAATGGATCCACTGTAGTTGGAAATGGAAAGCATCAACTTAACAAAAGAACTTGGATATCAGATCAAACACCTAGTGCAGATACTGATGTGGATAAAATGCCTGCGTCATCTAATCGATCTCAAGAAGTGGGGTTGGCAAACATGTTTCTGAGGACAATGAATGATCAAAAAGCTGGCAAAATCCCCAGTAAAAAAAATGATACTTTGGCTTCAAATGGACTTTTGGGAATTTTAACTGAAAGAAATGAAACTACAGGTGAAGAAGATATGGGAAAAGGATTCAACATTAATGGCTTAATTGGCTGCATTAAGGAGCTGCCTAGAGAACTATTAATTACTAAACCTCAGGACGGTGCTATTCCTGACAAGACTGATCATATCATTAAAAGGGGAGGCTCAGTTAAAAAGGTTACAATCCCTGCTGATTCACATAAGCGTGATGCTAAAAGAAGAGAAAGTTCGTTTAGAGGCCGTGCCATGGAAAGGGAGACAAACACCATCGATGAGAGTGAAGAACAACCATGTAGAGGAATTGCTTCCCTTAATACAGATTCCGTATCTAAAAGTGACAGTGGTGACTTGAAAGTTGCATCTCGAAAAAAGTCAAAACTAAGCCCACAGATCCATCTTCCAACTAGCAAGGAAGACTTAAATAAGATCCCAATTGCATGCAGCCAAAAAGAAGGATCAACAGAAAGCAAGGTATTGGTTAGATTTTTGCACAAAAATGTGAAGGATTATGTTGTTGGTAATGCTTTAAATGATTGTGGGGAGATTGTGAAGATACAGCTACTTTCCGTTAGTGAAGGAAGCAATTTCAGAGATGCTTGGGTGCATTTTAAGGTATTGGAAAACATGCTTATTTAATGGTTCAAATGTCCTTTTTTTTCTTCCAAATA